ATCAATTAAGAAATTGATCTTCGGGAGTTGTTGGTTTCTCGGGTGTAAAATGGAGTCTGGTTTTAGAAAAAGTATAATTATGTATGAATTTTTTCCACATACGTATGCTTAACTTTCATATATTTGGGCTGTGTAAGCATATTGTTGCAAGATGTCATTTTCTATAGATATCTCAGCGGTGAGGGGAGAAACTGTAATATGAAGAAGATGCAGAACTGAGTCATGAGATTGAATAAGAAATATTGCTAGAAGTTGCAAAAATAATTTGCAAATGCCAATAATGCTGAAGAAGCTTACTTTTGATGTACCCTGTATTTTTCAAACTCTCAATACCCCATTTTTATCAATGTCCATGGCTGATCTCCATATCTTTGTCAAATCGGAGTCTGGGTACTTATTTTTGGATTTTTTTTTTTTTTTTTTAATTTTTTGGTCTTTGCCAGCTGACCCATATGGCGGCCCAGGATACCATTGGCAGCTTAATGCTCCACCACCTGGGAATCATGGTTTCACTGTACCACCGAAACCTTCTCAACCACCCACTGGTACTTCACGACCTCCGCTCTCACCACTACAAGCCCCTTCACTCGAAAGGCCGCCTCCTTACAACAACAGTAGTGGAGGTTCTGGTTCTAGTTATTCTGGACCTGAAAATCCACTTCCACCACAATCAACTGGCATGGCCTTGGGGTTCTCGCAAAACACATTTACATATGAAGAGTTGGCGAGAGCAACCGAGGGCTTCTCGAATTCGAATCTTCTTGGACAAGGTGGTTTTGGTTATGTGCATAGGGGGGTTCTCCAAAATGGGAAAGAGGTCGCAGTTAAGCAGCTAAAAGCTGGGAGTGGACAAGGGGAACGTGAATTTCAAGCCGAGGTTGAGATAATAAGCAGAGTGCATCACAAACATCTCGTTTCATTAGTCGGATACTGCATCACTGGGACTCAGAGAATGCTTGTTTATGAGTTTGTTCCGAATAACACCTTGGAATTTCACTTGCATGGTATGTATCCACTGATACACATTATTGATTTTTCTATTGAATCATAATAATTCAAAGGAGATTTTATGCTTGTTATTGCTTATCTGTATTACTTGCATATTAAATTTAAGCAACCACATTTATTGATTTTTATTTATTATTATTATTTTTTTGAATTGAAATAACTGACAGTGTGAAAAGAGACTTATACTTGTTTCTTTTCTACTTCTTATCTCTTGTCAAACCTGTCAAATGTAGCTATGTTCTTATTTCTCCTCATTTTGTTGGGGCCCTTTTTTTGCTTTATTTTATGTTCGATACTGTTACACAATTGAAATTCAGAATTTCACCACACATCTACTCTTAAATGATCTGTAAATGGTATATTCCCCAAATTTATCAGTAGAGTGTGACTTTTCATCTGATAACTAGTAGTTTAATGCATTTCAGGAAAGGGAAGACCTACTATGGATTGGTCAACAAGATTGAAAATTTCTTTGGGGACTGCAAAAGGATTGGCATATCTGCACGAAGATTGTAAGTTTAATTGGTGGGCACATGTTTATATAAAACTGGGAAATATTTATATTTAGCGCCCTTCAATATATTTGATTCTGAATGGGGTGTTTTCTGCTCTTAGGTTATCCAAAGATTATTCATCGGGATATCAAGGCAGCTAATATTCTTCTAGATTTCAACTTTGAAGCAAAGGTACTATCTTTTATAGTCATGATAGGAGAATAGTTACTGCCCGTCCTTACAGATGGCTGCACGTTAGTTCTCTTTTGTCATTCTTAGTTAGGGAATGATCTCATAAGTCATAACTCATCTGGAAATGAGCAGTAGGATTTAGAAACTCTATTTTCCTCATGAAATAGGTCTATTTAGATTTTCCCTGACTACAATGAAATTAGCAACTCAACTTAACTTGAACATGCAAATAATTGATGTAGAGGAGATCGATAAATTTATCTATTTTATTATGCTTACTTATTGATGAACATCATTTATTGTCTCAGGTTGCAGATTTCGGTCTTGCAAAGATTACTTCTGATGTTAATACTCATGTCTCCACTCGAGTGATGGGAACTTTTGGGTAAGACTGATTCTTTTGTGTTAGCTGTTGCTGATTATGATGTTTGAGGTGATTATTTGTCAAGAATGCTGACTTTTATTATTATTATTATTTATTTATTTATTTTCATTTAACCTCTGCCCTCTCACCCTGGTTGGGGAACATGATCACTGCTACTTCTGTTTGCACTGCACTTCCTTTATATGTATTTTCCAACACTTTTTAGTTGGTCAGGTTTTGAACTTTTCTTTCTTAAAGATGTGTTCTAATACCACCTTGGGATAATTTTCTATACCAAGCTGCATAGTAAACTGTATTTTGTTTTCCACTCCGCATATAAGGAGGAGTTGAAGTTTGGGTCCAATTGTGTACATAAATATGTAAAGCTGCTGGATTCTAGTTATAGTTTCGCGTTTTACAACTAACACATTTCTTCCTATTAAGAATCAAGCTTTAGTATTACTATATATTGACATTTCATTATTTCTAGTTATATGGCCCCAGAATATGCTTCCTCTGGAAAACTTACCGATAAATCCGATGTCTTCTCCTTTGGGGTCATGCTTCTGGAATTGATTACCGGACGTCGGCCTGTTGATAGTAATCAATCTTTCATGGATGATAGCTTGGTAGACTGGGTGAGTTACTCGAATTTAACATAGTTCCCAAATCATCGGTTTTTCCCTATCCTTTCTGTTAGCATTGGGGATTTGAGCATCAGAGCACAAGATGTTAACTCGAAACTCTTAATTGTGATAGGCAAGGCCCTTGCTCACACAGGCTTTGGAAGATGAAAAGTTTGATGCCCTTGTTGACCCACGATTACAGAAGGACTACAACCCTAATGAAATGGCTCGCATGGTTGCTTGTGCTGCTGCTTGTGTCCGTCATTCGGCAAGGCGCCGACCAAGAATGAGTCAGGTAATTTGATTGCCTTCCTTTTGCAGTCATCAAGCTCCACACCAGATATTTATATTTATATGGTCTGCAAATTGAATCCGACATTAACATTCCAATCCTTAGTAAGTTTTTTCTTAAGATTATCGAGTACTTTCCAATCATCGCAAAAAACATGCTAAATATGTTTTAGCAGAGACTTCATAGATCAACAATGCTTTGAAATAATCGAACTGATTGAGCATTGCTCAATGTATTCGTAATCATGAATAATGGCATGGACAAGCTCTGTTTGAGTTAGGATTATCTATGGATAAATATTCAAGAAGTACTTGAACTTTAGTTGTGCCATAGCTATGTTCTAAAACACATATCTAAGCAGGTTGTCAGGGCCTTAGAAGGAAATGTATCTCTGTCTGATCTCAACGAGGGAGTTAGGCCTGGACAAAGCTCGATGTACAGTTCTCATGGAAGTTCTGACTATGATACCATGCAATACAACGAGGACATGAAAAAGTTCAGGAAATTGGCGTTTGCAAGTCAGGAGTATGGCAGTACGGGTCACTACAGCAATCCAACCAGTGAATATGGCTTAAATCCATCTGTCTCAAGTAGCGAAGGCCAACAAACTAGGGAAATGGAGATGAGAAGGATAAAAAATGATAGTAACGGTTTCAGTGATGGTACTTGACAGCAAGCAATTGAAGTAGAGAGGTGTTTTGCTAGAGTTAGTTGCATACGTGTTTTTTCCTCATAATTCTTCTTTAACGAAATATGTTTCTTCCACCCTATTGTATTTTCTATGGCTCATTGTTACAAATATTGAAGTATTTTATACAATCTTCATCATTAACCTTGGTTATTGCTCAGAGCGGTTAAGGCTTGTGCATTAATGATACGTTTGGTAGGGATACTATAAAAGAAAGAAGTTACAAATTTTATTCCTTGTACTGTTTAGTCTTTCTATCATTCTTGTATCAAATGTATGCCTAATTTCTTCAGCGTTTATCTGTTTGGGGATGACAAGAGTCCTGCAATCTGTGTATGGATGTGTTTTTGTTTAGATTAGTGGAAAACCTTCACACCTGACTTCTTGCTACTTTTGACTTGTTCATGTTGTTTTCCAGCAACTGTTGTATATATCAATACATATTTGGAAATAAACTAAAATCTTGTCATGCCTATAATGCTGTCCAGTTGTTTCTAAAAGCCGCAAGCCAAACATGTCATAACTGATTATGGTTTGATGAGTTGAGTTCTGACGTCCCATTTTGTTAAAATTGTAGTCGACTAATTGCTTTCAGATAGTCAACAGGTAAGCACGATATTAATACATCCTGACAATTCTTTAAGTAAGAATGTTGAGACGGTAAACTTTCAAATTTGGGGCACTCTTGAAAACTTTGTTAATTATTGCACCTCGAGATGTTCTCATTATACAATAAAACTCCATTAGCACCAAATATTTTCTTGAGTATGGATAATTTTATATAATCCATTTTATTTAGTGTCCTATTTTAAGGTTAATTAAGTCGAGTGGACATGTAACTCAATACGAATGAACATAAATGACTCCCTTTCCACTGTTGACTGTCCACGTCCAAGGATCAAGAAACATTTCAAATTTCTCTACTTCTAGTCGGTCGGCCAAAATCCACTGGGTAGCATTAGAGGAAGACTAACATATGACCATATATAAAGCCTTTATTTAATTTCGCCCTATTTAAAAATACTCGTTAAAGAAAATTATATAGGCCTCGTTTGGGAGTGATTTTTCATTTTCAAATAATTGATTTTTTTAACCGCTGTTTTCCTATTTCAGCCGTAATTTTTGACTTCTTTTCTCACAGATAACCCCCAATTTTTTTCTGATAGTCAAAAAATCAATTCTCAAAATCATTACAAAACAGACCCATGGTCAACCCACAGACATGTCACATTTTCTTTCCTAAGAACACTAACCTACATGAGAAGGTACCTAAAGATATTTCGAAAAGTACTATTTTTCACATTAGCTTATAAGTACAACCAAACATGGTCTATTTTAACAGATCAGCAGGCCCCGCACTGCCCATTATTCCCACCGGCACCGCCACCACACATACTGTTTTAACGGTGTACTGTAGGGACGTCCACCGTCCTATTCAACTGCCATTTCCATTTCAACCAGATGATGACTCTGGGGCTCCTCCCTTCTTTGAAGAACCCTAATTTCCCCCGTGTTCACTGCTTCACACCCACCAGTAATTTCAATCTTTCACCAAAGACCCTCCAATTCAGCCACACTCATTTCAAATCTTTCTTCGAGGGCCCCAAGTTCCTGTCTTTCAACCACTCAGAAAGTAAACATGCTCACTTTCAGACCCGTCGTTCTGATAGATTAGAAGACTCCAATAAAGAGACCGTAAAAGCAGTTTTGGACCCGGAGGAAGGGGATGTCGGTGGCGGAGGCGATGGTGGTGATGGAGATGATAGGAATGTGGAGAAGAGTAGTGGGTTATTGCCAGAATGGCTGAATTTCACTTCAGATGACGCCAAGACAGTTTTCGCAGCATTGGCCATATCGCTGGCCTTTAGGTCTTTTGTAGCTGAGCCTAGATATATTCCTTCGTTGTCTATGTATCCCACGTTTGATGTTGGAGATAGGATTGTAGCTGAAAAGGTAATTATTTTCTTATTTTGGTGATAGATTTTGGGACTTAACTGCTAAATATTAGGCCAAGTTTTGATATATTAAGGTATTATTCTTCCATCTTGGAGTTGAAAATATGATCTTGGAGATAATACATTTATTATTGGGTAATGATAACTAATCCAAGGGATTGTAAGGAACCCACAAGTAGACTGAGGTTCAAGGGTTTCCTCATTGAAAAAAGGTCGAAGTAAATGCATCAACAAAATGGGTGCCTTCGAATTTATATCCCAAACTAGGAGCTGAAGGTCATCACTCATGGAATTGTTCTAGCCAGTCGAAATTTCGAAACTTACCATAATATGCCGTTTCAACCAGTTCTGAAAAGCTATACACTGCTCCATGCGTCATGAGCTAGAACTGGTCTAGCTACTAATTTTAAATCTACTAACTATTTCTTCTTTATGTTATGATAAACTATGCATAACATCTCAGTTGTCTGCTGCAATCAGTATGATGCTAAATGCTTAAACTCTTACTTCTGAAAGTGTATGTTGATGTCCTCCCCTTGTTTAAAATTCTACTGATCAAACTACTATAATGTCCGTAGTCCACCAAAAGCTTTGGTAACTGATTCCATCGTTTTTAATTTTAAATGTACAGGTCTCCTATTATTTCAGGAAGCCCTGTCCCAATGATATTGTGATCTTCAAAAGCCCACCAGTTCTTCAGGAAGTTGGATACACAGATGAAGATGTATTTATTAAACGGATTGTTGCCAAAGAAGGTGATATTGTGGAGGTGAGATTTAAGACATTTTCCGTCCTGTTTGTGCTCTATTATCGATAAAAATTGTCATCCTGGATCCATTTGTATGTCATGTACAATTTGTATCATCCATAAGCTTGTTCCTCTACCATTAAATATATTATAGGAAAAGGACTATCTTATAGGTTTGATGAGTTATGGTATATGTTGCTATGATTTTGCATGCTTTCTTAAGTGGCTGGTGCTGGATACAATTATTGGTATATATTGAACTTGGAGTAATATACACCACTCTTGTAATTCCATTACCCTGATTGATCAAGAATGAAATGGGACAACAGGATTAGTAATTTGTATGATCCGATTCTCTGGAATTGACTGAAATAAAAAAGTAAACAAAAACAGTGCATTGGTAACAAACACAGAATCTCCATTTGCTTAGATACCTGAAATTTTCTACCCTAACGTCAAAAAGATACATGCTTTTTCATCTTTTTGGAAACATTTATGAATTGGTTTCATCATTCTTCAAGCTGAACCTATCAATTCTAATTGATGCCTAATGCCGTTCAGATGTTCATCAACACCCTTGGGTCATTTTTCTTAAACCTATATACATAGTTAAGATAACTTCTGTAATAAAATTAATCCACATGGTTTTATATTTGCTTTGAAGGGAGTTTATCGTGCACTTGGTCTGCCACCATCATATGAGAAACTCTCTCTCTAGCAACATCACCGTAATATTACATCAAAAGCTATTATCTTCAATTTATTTCTGTTCTTCAAATCATGAATGCAAAAATATTCTTAGATATCTACTGATTCATGCTCTTAAGTTCTTTGATTTTCTTTTCGTCGTTTGTGATTTTTGCTTTTTCTCCTAGCTATCTATAAGAATCTTGCAATTAGATATGAAATACCTGTTGTTCTTGTGTTTTTTCTTTCTAGTTCAGGTTCACGATGGAAAACTGATTGTAAACGGGGTAGTCAGGAATGAAGATTACGTTCTTGAAGTCCCCAAGTATGAAATGAATCAAATTGTAAGTTCAGATTATTGTACACTTTATTGAGCTCGTCTTTTTCCCTCATGTGTGTTAAGATCAGGATAAAAACTCGAGATGATCTATAATCTATTAATGGCAATTAATTGATTGAATTTTATGAGTATGACTTCAAAATCTGTTGAAGCCTTGCATGGTACTCCGACCACCATAACTAGATTGAAAAATGGAATTGTTCGTAAATCACATAACATCTGGCTTTGTGTTTTGGTGCAGCGTGTACCAGAGAAATCTGTTTTTGTGATGGGTGATAATCGAAATAACAGCTATGACTCTCATGTCTGGTAATATTTCTTGACAGTTGAAAAAATTTAAGGTATCACCTGAAGATGATTTACACTTTCTTATGTATGAAATCTGTCCTTTGATTAGGGGTCCCCTTCCTTCAAAGAATATAATAGGGAGATCCGTGTTCCGCTATTGGCCTCCGACCAGAGTTGGCGGTACAATTCTTCCAGATGGCTGCAATATTGATAAACAGGAGAGTAGTTTAGCTTCTCAATGATTACCGCCATCACTGTTGATTCAGTTGGAAAATTGGAATCGCATTCTTTCAGATTGCTGCACCAACGACAATAGGAGAGTAGGTTTAGCTTCAGGGTGATACCTTGGTCGCTGCGGATCCAGTTGGAGAACTGATAGTGCAGCTCTTATTTTTCACTCTGCTCTGAAACTCACATCCAAGTGTTTAGTTGGAAAATCAAATGAGCAGTTTTGATTTTTCACTCTCATTTTTAAGCGTCAATTTAATGTGAGCTGTTGTAAGAAGATTTTAAATGAAGTCTCTTATGGATAATGAACTTCAATTTAACGTATGGCATATTGCATTTTTTGCTTGTTGCAGACTTTATCTGAATGAAAAGATTCTATGCTTGGGAAATACAGCTTCCGTCCTATCTTTTGTTTCTTTTTGACAAACATTTACCACATCCTTCCTTACATCTTCAAGTTATTCAGAAACGCTAAACGCAATTTGAAGCACTTTAGATCTAAACACATTAAGGGTTGGAAACAGAAACACTAAACACACGTCGAAGCACTTTAGATTGTTGGAAAATCTCACGATTGGAGACAGAAACACTACACACAATTGAAGCACAAATACAAGAACCTGAACCAAAAACACAAAAACTGGAGGATATTAAGAAAATCTGAAAATGGAGGTTGAAAAAATGCTAAAGCAACGTCACAAGGACACACTTCATTGACATTATAAAAAGATCCCCTTGGCACTTCGATTGACAGGCAAAGTTGGGCTCACCTCCCGAACAACAGGATTCTCCCTGACCTTCATGGCAATCCTCAACCTCTTTTAAATTAAAATGTTACCTAAACTTGGCTAGAGTTTTAGGTGTTCGCCATTAGAGAAGAAAGCCAAATGATATGCTATACTATTCACCAATAAAGAACACAACAAACTCCCAACTTTGCTTGAGACTGTCGCGTCAAGGGTTCGAATCTTGAAATATAGATTTGTCTCTTGGGTAAGTGCAAGTGTACACGAAGCTTTCCACCCTGTACCCTTGGAAGCATAACCTGCGATTTACCTCCCTCACGATACTCCAAGGTAGGGGCGGTAGGGGACCCTTAAGGTTGGAGTTCAACCTTTTTTTTTTTAACACAACAAACTCAGCATATTCTATTGACAGTTACTGCAGGGAACAAAGTAGATAAAAGTGCATAGAATAATAGTAAAAAGTAATAAACAGGCTGACAATAAAGAAAGAAACGTTGAAAGGGTAACAAAAGAGTTCATTGCAGTAAGCTGCAAAAATATCAGTACTTAGCCTCGGTACTGTCTTTAGTATAGAAATCTCCGTAGTGGTTGCACCAAGACTACACGAACAATCGGCTACAATAGAGATGATGGAAATCGCTCATTGCACTTCCAAAGCCACATCAATAACTGTGTTCATTTTAATACCATAATCACCAATGGTTAGTTGACTTTCTAATGCCTTGCCGTTCACGATTAGTTCTCTCACAGGCTTGTCCATCGTTTGCTGAATTTTCTTCTTCAAGTCATTAATGGTAGTAGAATCTTGTATAGCGCCTGCAATAGATAGTTTAGTCCGGCGGATTAAGGTTGATGGCCAGAAAACCAAATGGAGGGTGCAGTCACTCTGAATATTGTAGCTACCCAGATCTCGATCATCCTCTAGACGTTTCCCCTCAAACATGAGCTGGAAATAAGTTGGCACTTTTATTTTTTGAAAGATCCTGCTCTTCAGAGATTTAATGATGTCCTGTTGATGCACATCAAAAGTTATAGTTTTGCCACACGAGCTCTTGATAAATATTGGATAAGAAAGAGGCAACATTTCTAAAACTGATTCTTCTCTGATGTTCAAAGAAGAGAGAGTCTTTGAATCCACCAGTTGCTTTCCAGCATAAGTTAGTACCATATCATTAAGAGACAAACCAACCATGCTCTCAAGTATTGTTTTGACGTCGCAAATTGTGTGCAAGAGCTTAACTTCTGGCTTCAGAATCTCTCCAGTTCGCATTTTTACAGAAATTAGCAACTTGTCTTTTGGATTCAACAACATATGAAGGGTTGAACCGCCCGGAATGTTGAGACATTCTACAGTCTGATTATCATCAAGCGGCTTTCCAGCAGAAATCAGTGTGTACCGATCTGAAAAGACGCCTTCTTTCTCCCTGATCTGAGTTTTGATGTTCTGGATGGTATCGCTAGGCTTCACTTCAACAGTAATTGTTTTCTTAGCAGTCGGCATTTTGATGAACAGATTGATAGGTACTGAATTATGGACAAAAACTTGGACAGTCGAATTTTTATCAATTCCACAATCTACCAGTCTCTGGGCATCCTTGAGACGGTAACCTTTAAAAAAGAGCTCCTGCAGACATTCGGATATACCTTCCTTCTCACATAACATCGCTTTCACATTTCTAATGGTCTCTGACCTCTTTATATTTAAACAAACTTTCTTATTGACCTCTAAGCATACATTTATCTGCAAGATATTCAGAATTGAAACGAAGAGCTTTCAAATATCAAGAATGGTATAGCTACTCAGGTGCTCGAGACCTTATATACACAAAACTACGACCATAAGCACCTCAAGGTAACTGCATTTCATAAACTACTCAAGTCGTTGTACATAAAAGTTAAGACAATGTTACACATACAGAATTTTTATACCAAATCTTTTACCTACTATTCACAACAGGGGTGGGAACCACATGTCAGCATTTTTAAATTCACACTGGGCCCACCATATATTGTGAGAGGTTGTAAAACATTCGGTAAGGGATTGGGCGTACAAATATCTTTTTCCTAAAAGTTAATGGCTGAAAAGTTAAACGGAACATTCATCCGCAAAATAAATATAATCATCTATACCTTTATAAGGTTAAAATTTTATTTCCTTCTTGCTTCAAGAATAAAAAAGGGGCCTAAAACAAAGTAGGTAACATGCATGTTTTAGATACTTGCACGCATTTTCAGTAACCAGAGGCCGATGGGTTCAATTCAATTATGATAGAACTGATTGCTTCTTATTTTAGATTCTGACTTTTTCTGAACGCTTAAAAAAAAAGGATTTTACTCTATCTAGGATTGCAATATGAATTATAAGTAAATATGTTTTCACTTTCTATACAGAGTGACATTAATATACAGCTGATATTGAATTCAGCCACCACATCCATATATCTACTGTATTCTATCCACGGCCGCTTGATTCTGATCCCATTTCAGTGTAATTAGACATAATAAGAATGGAATCACTTAGGATTTGAACATAAGACATCTATGCATAGTTATATACAGAAATGATCCAATGCCCATGGTGGACATGAGTTATAATGCCCACCATGGGCATGGCAACATCCTGTGTTGCCACACCCACGGTGAGCATTATAACCCATGGCCAAGATCAAGTCCGATCTTTCACTATATATCACTTCATTAAGTGCAGATAACATTAGGGATCAGCCAAATTCCGTAGCATCCCAAGAACCAAACCAGGGGATTCCATTTTTTATTTATTATTATTATTTTTATATGTAAAATGAAGACCTTACGGCTAACAGTTTACCAATAATTTTTTAAAATTTTAATCATCGTCTTCTTGATTCATGAAACCAGCCACGCCTAATTTCTAAATAGATTAATTCAAAAATTAATTCTTCCCCAAAAAAAAGGGGCTCAAACAAGGGCTAAATTTTCTTTGAAGTTTCCCATAAATGCAAAATTGAAGATTTCACGAGAATCAACAGTCATTTTTAAATTTCCCCTTGAAAAATGAAATGAAAAAGATTAATGAAGAACGGTTTTAACCTCGAGGGTTTTGTGCAATAGAAGGCAAAGATGAAAAATAATTCAACAAATAGTTTACATCATGACATACAAAGAGAAGATTTTAAACTAGAGAAATTACCACCTCTTCTTCTCGCTGTGATGATCGCTTAAAACTGCTTGCTTCCATGGAGAATTCTTCTGATTTTTGAAAGCAAGAAACAATGAACGATTGAATTTTTCCACGGGATCCCTAGTACAGATGATTTAACCTATAGGGAGTGTTAAATGGGCCACTCAAGCATCAAGTTCAGCTTGACCCATTATGCGAATCATCGAAATGTGGCTTTGCTTACCTCGCGAACGAGCTCTTTGATGGACGAGCCAATTATTTATTTCTAATTTGGCCAAAAACCTGAGTGGCTCGTGAGCTACTGCGGCTAACTCACGTGTTTTGCTGTTCGGCTTGTGCTTGTAGCTTGCTTCGGGCACGAGCTGAGCCAACAACCTGCTTGCGGCCCACCCCACTTCTTGCCCCCAAATTTAACTCTTGAAAATTAGGACGAGCTTTTACATGATCTTTAACCTTTAAGAGAGAGATTTTAAATCTAAATATAACTAAGCCCCTGTTTGATCCTCATTAAATTAAATTATATTACATTTCATTTTTCTCTCTCCTATTTTCAACCACACAATTTTTCATAAAATGATATAACACGTAAATCAAAAACTTTTTCTTTTTTTTAACCACTCATTTTTCTTAAAAAATACTATTCCCTCCATTTTCATTTTCAGGTAACGGGGGTCAAACAGGGGCTAAATCTATAATTTGGATCTTGACGTGACCAAATTTGTCAATGTTAAGGTTAATATTTATGCATTTTTTATGTGACTTAAAGAGAAAATCATCGTACTGCTTAGCCTCTATTTGTTTTCCATTTTTTTTATTAAAATGAAAAATATGATCGTTATCCCTTATATCAAGCCATCAAATTTAAATCTCTATTTCTTGTATGGGGTCATAACGGCTATATTTTTTATTCTCATTTTTACAAAAATGAGAAACAAACTCCCTCTTAATATTTTTCTCCGAATCAATTGAAAGTCAAGTTGTTGGAAGAATTTTGTGAATAGTGACGCCGAAATAAGTATAATGATGGTGACAAAGCCGAGGCAAGAGTTGGACTCTTTGTCCTTAAGTCGAATTTGCCCCGCAACGGTGCCTACGGATTTCGGCAATCGACTCCCAAGATACAACGGCTACACTTGTGTTTGTAGCACTCCAAAACACAAGTACAACGAACCCAATGTAGGCTTACGTACTCCACAGATGAAATGAAAGAAAATCAAAATAAATGAAATGATTTTGATTTTGGATAGAAGAGAGGATGAGAGACGTTTTTGCATATCAAACTGTGAGGAATAGGACACCCAAAGGGTCCTATTTATAGACCATGAAGGGGTGTGGACGAAATGGTTGAGACCAAACCATGCACCATTTCCAAACAATGCACCTTTATGAAAAGGTGTCTATTCACTAATGGTTGAGGTCTTTTTCGTAATTTCTCATTCATCCGATATTGGTTTTCGAAATGCCAAATATACCCTTCAATACATGCAGAGAAATCAAAATTCTCTTTCGGGGGCGTTGCCCCCGACCCCCCACGAGGGGCGCTGCCCCCTCGACCCTCGCGACCTGACCGGGCAGGTCGATCCCCGTTTGTGCGCGGCGAAGTGGCAAACAATTTTGCCTAAACGGATTGAGTCGAGCTTTTGAGTATTTGGCCGAATTCGATACGAACTTTAATCGATTTTCAATTCTCAATTTATTTAACCAATATCCAACACAAGTGAGATTTTAATTTTTATATTAATGATTTCGATCACGTAAAGACTCAAATTTACACATTTAAATATGTTAAGAATCCAAAACCGCTCACTTTTTAATATTGGGACCAATGACCACACTACGTAAAAAGGTTGGGACATGACCCTAATTTTTTTCATTTCATTGAAGGTCATTAAACTTTTTGTAAAATCTCAATTGAGTCAATAAACTTCAATTGTCTCGATTAGAACATGGATCTTCAATTTAGACGTACATTTCACTACTATGTCACAACTTGTCACCTATCTTATCCCCAAATCGATGAAAATTGCTTAATTGAAGAACACCATAACTCATCGTCTACATAAATCCTACATGATACTCTACTAACCAAATTGATAAAATGAAAGTTATGACAATACTTCTATAGTAAAATCCTAAAAGATGTGATTTTATTTTTTTATTTTTTTTTTGTGTGACATAGTGAAGTGATAAATTGGCATGCTGTGTATTGATTAAGTAGAAGATTTATTGCGATATGATTGAGAATGAAATCATTTTCATCAATTTGAGAAGATGGTAGATAATGAAAGATTTACCTAAAAAGATATCGACAATAATTTTGGGTTAAATGATATGTAAAATTAAATTACTCATTTAATTTCATTTATCATTTAATGTCACATTAACTCCATCTAGGCCAGGGTTGCAATTCCAATGGAGTTAAATAGCATTACTCCTTTATATTATTAAGTTTTTTTGCCATTTTGAGTTTGATTATTTCAATTTATTGGATATTCTCAACATAAAATTTTATAAATTTTCTTAAGAATTTTATTATAAGTTCTTTATCATAAATTTAATGGATTTGGTAACAATCTAATTAATTCTACAAAAAATATAACTTTGCTATTTAAAATAACAAATTTTATCAATCTAAACCATCAAACAAATAATAATCAACAAATTAAAAATAAGTTTAATTTGACAATTTTAAATAAAAAATTGAAATTGTAATCTACAAAGTCAAGCATATAAATATCACCAAAATCAATTCAATCTAAAATTTAAAATCTTTTTTATTATAGTGTCAAGTACTATGTACTAATAATGTACTAAACATTTTATGATGAAAGATATGTTAATAGAATTTTAAAAGCTGAATGGACTTATTAATTTTTTTTTATTCTTAAATGTCAAGAATAAAAATTCAATTTCAAATTCTAAATAAAACGAAAATCCAATTCGACCTTTTTATTTCTCTCCCATGAGAATGACAATTGAAAACGAGATATTTTATTACTATTTATTTATTTTTATTTTTATTAATTTCTTTTGTTTTTGTTCAGACTTTGACTTTATATTTACGGGCTTGATACACATGGAAATTTAAAATGAGGAAATTACGGGTATTTGAAGATCCCAGTTAGATTCCAAAATTGTTTATGCAAATCTCAAGTTTCAACTTAATTTTTATATATTTAAATATTAAATTAAAACACAGTAGAAGCCGATTCCAACTCCTGAATAGCAAACCCTATATCTCTCTCCCTTGTACCTCCCTCTCTCCATTCCATTTTTATCTCTTCCTACCCACATCCTCTCTATTCTAGCTGGTTGATCGGCGCCTTGCAGTGACGCCACTGGGGAAGGTAGAGCTCCTTTTGAGCGGCTGCGCGAAAGGTGGTGCCCACAGCGACTTCTCGCAAGAAGAGCACCGATAATAATTTTCTGGTGCGCTCGGCGGCCTTTTGCGCGGAGAGTATGGAATAGTTCTGGTGGTGCAGTGGCGCGCTATGATGGCGTCCTAGTTTTGTGATTGCATTGGTAGTGGAGGTGTGCGATTTTGTGGAGGGAACGAAGATCTCAGTGCGGTGCTGTGCGTGATGGCTGTAGCGGCTTGGTGATGGCACAGATCGAGGCTGTAGTGATTTTTATGGTTTTTATGGTTTTAGGATTATTGTTGTGGTTGCGGTGGTAGCGACGGTCATTGGCGCAGGTGGTGGAGGTGGCCGATCTGTGGTGTATTTGTGCTAACTTGTGTGTTTAGTGTGTATGGAAGCCGATTATGTGTGGTGGTGGTAGAGATGGCGAGGTGGGGGTGGTGCAGGTGGGGGTTCGTTGGGGGTAGTGATGGTACTCACCACCGCTGGTGCGCTGCTCTGATTTTGGGTCTGGATATGATTTTCTTTTTTTGTTTAGCGGTGGTTGTGGCAGTGGTGCAGTGGTTTGTGGTTCTGGCAACAAACGGTGGTTGTTCTGGTGACGACGCTGGTGGTTCGTCGACGATGGTTGTGGGAGTGGTGAGGTGAGGTGGTAATCACAAGTGTTGGTGGCGACTTGTTGGTGATGGCGATGGTGTTGTGGTTGTGGCGGTGGTGACGAGTAAGGGTAACAAGTGGCGGTGGTGGCAATGGAGTTGGTGGTGGTATGTGACTGACTATTTGACCAGTGACCAATTGGTGGTGGTGTCGGGAATCGAGATAGAATGTTGGATGTTTGTGACCAATTATTTGGTCTTGTCTGCGACTGTGACCGTAAATTGTGACATTAAAATTTGATCATTTGTCATTAAAAAGTTATCCGTGACCATCAAATATGAAAATATGCGATCTGTGACCTATAGTTTTTTGAATTTGTGACCAATGTTGTGAGTTGTGACCTACAAAATGTTTTATTTGTGACCAATGAAATAATTTGTTACTTGTAAATTTATTATTTGTGACATCGAAATAATCTGTGACTCATAAAATTTTTGATTTCTGACCTCGAAATAATCTGCAACCAATTAATTCGATAATATGTGACAAATAAGTAAATTTGTAATCAATAATTATAAATATGTGATCATTAACCGTAAAACTGTGACTTTATTATATTTAATTAATAAATATTTTTAATTAACTATTCAGAAACCTGAATTTTGAATTTTTAAATTTGCACTTGATTTGTGAATTGATGTAAATAATACACCTAGTATATGAATTTTTCCCATTTAAAAGGCCATGATAGAGTTTTTAATTAGTTAATTATGTATCGTTTTAAATTTGAAATTCATCAAAATTTATTCAAATCTTCCATTAATATAATTCTTACAAACGCGCTAATTTTATATAACAATTAGATTTTAACAAAATCTATTAAAATCCGATATGAGGATCCAAATTTTATTTAAATCTATTAAAATCTGAGATGACGACAACAAAATTTAAAATCTATTGAAATCTGAGTTGAAGAACCCATGGTGAGAGATAATAATTCCAAATGGAATAATAATTAAAATAAGTTGTTGCAATGGATAAATCAAATGACACACTCAATTGATTGCATTTTTTAATTTATAGCAACACTTTAATAAATGAATATTAGATAAATTAAAAACTTCACTTAAATGACAAGGTAAGATATTGTATATTTGTTTATGCACATTATACAGATTAAGGTAAAACATTATGCATTTGATTATTATCGAACCGTTTCAACAATTGACACTTCCATTATAAATCGTCAAAAATGAAATTCAGATACATTATTTAGTTATGTTTATAAATTACGTTTCATCGAAAATAAACTTATGATTTCCGAATAATGACTTTGTAGCACTAATAATCGAAATGACCGAAAAAATAAATAATTGGTGTCGACAAACAAGATAAAAAGAACCACTAAACTAGTTCGATTTTCATTTTTTTCAAGTTTCTTAAGGGCCCGTTCGATATTGATTTTGAAAATTGGATTTTTGACCGATAGGAGAAAAGTAGGTGCCACATGTGAGTAAAAAGGTCAAAAGTACGACTGGAATAGTGAAATAACAAAAAAAAAATCAATTTTTTTGGTGAAAAATCACTTCCAAACAGACTCTAATATTTATCTAAACAAGAATACTATGGATAAATTTTCTTAAAAAAATTAAAAATAATATGATGCCATCTAATACCAGTCACTACATTTGATAATGAAGATGGATCGAAGAATCCACCATTACTATAATTGCAAAAAGAGTGTCACAAGGCTCATGAAAAAGTTACTAAATTCTAACTCATTAGTACACGATCCTTTTAACCTTAAACAACTAAATCTTTTAATACGTAAAACATAGCAAACTATATTTCCACAACTGCTACTTCCCCACATTGTACACTAGGACATCATGTGATTATAATCTAACACTTGAAAAATTAAAATAATTTAAATATTAATTGCAGATTAGATGCCGAAACAAGCGAATTGTGTGCTCATACCATTCATCGACTTAATCTGCAATACAGAAAGGTATAGAGAAATCCGACCAGCTGCATCTGATGTCTTCAATCTCAGCTTCTGTTAGATCTATTCCTATCCACTTGAATAGTTCTTGGATCCAAGGTAGAGAGTATTTGGGGCATTGACATGCCACCCGATACAACAATTTCTGTGAGCAAGGAACAAAGTAAAAAGTAGGCAGATGATATTTATATCAACTACTATATATAGTATCAGTTACACACAGAGAACAACATTAAGTGAAGAATCTTGATATAATATGTGGCTAGTGCGTGAAGGTGGAATTGTAGTGAACGCTTATTTGTTCGAAGGTAAAAAGTCATTAGGAGGAAAATAATTAAGGTACATCCTTTAAACGAAGAGAGTGTAATCATGGTAAGTAAAGAAGCGGAACTCTTACCAATTCCTTCCCGGACAGACAAGTTTGGTCTTATAACATCATTGGCATTGACCAAAAAGATGTCACCGATGTATAGATGGTTTGTTGGGACATACACACAGCATAGCTCTTCTGCCGCCGCATAATTCTGCAATGAGAGAGATATAAAGAATTCTAAATCGAAATCAAGATTATAATGCAGCCAGCAAGCAAATGTAAAGTCAGCCTCTTCTTTTACAGGTGAAAATGTTCTTGCATATTTGATTGGTCAATCCTGTTGTTACTTAAATGTCGTTTTACAAATAGGACATGCATGCTTGTTGCTTCGAGAGAAATGGAAAAGGAGTTAAATATTTAGAATTGTCCAAAAACTGATGCCAAAAAGTGGAATCTTCAAACCATTTTGAATACCACAAAAGCAAATATTCAAGGTCGTTTCTCCTAAAACAACATAAAAGATTTATTTACATGAAGATTCAGCATAAGACAATGAACCAGATAACAAAAATTTAGTGTGTAACAAAAACCAAATCAGCAATAGCATTATTTTAAGAAAAGGTTCAAACAGATTTTCTAATCGAGGAGATTATATAGAGCATGTCTGCTAAGCCTTAAAAGTTAATTTTTTTTTTTTTTTTTTTTTTTTAAAGGGGGGGATTTTCTT